TATACTGATGGTATTGGCATTGTTGTTGTTACTTTTATTGTTACTAGTAATACCACTACTACGACGACGACGAAGACCACGACCACGACGACGACGACGACGACGACGACTACTACTACTACTATTACTAGTACTCCTCCTCCTGCTGCAGCTACTACTGCCACTACTCGCTTTAGTAGGGCAATATGCAGGTCTTAAAACTGGAGTATGGAGTTGGGTTCCCTTCTTGTCATGCAAGGCAAACGGCATCAACCAAAACAGGAACCTCCCAAAGACTATGGAGCTGCTCGGAGACGTTTTGACTGGACTGTTTTTGCAAGCAACGCGCATGAATTTAGAGCCCAACGCTTGGACCGACGACAGGCTTCTGCCCAATCGAGGCGAATGGCTCAATGCAACCTGGCACTCGCTGCGAGATGAGTAAGCACAGCCACCAACAGGCGCCTCAGAGGGAGCTACGAGGCCATCAAGCGATTCCTGCTCAGTCGGGATGCGCTTGACACGGTCCACTTTGCAAGGGCCGGGCCTCTCCGCTGCCGTACCTCGTGCACCCCCCTACCGCTCTGCAAAGCTCGAAACGCAGAACATGAGTCTGTGAGGCGCGGACAAGGCCTGCTTTACCAGATTATCGTCCTTTGAAAAGCGGGAAGCGAGCAATTCTGAGTTTGCCAGATCACAAGCAGTGCCATCTGTCCTCGTGCAGCCATGGATCTAGAGCCATTCTACCACATGCCCCATTTGACAACGACAATGCGAGAACAATGCCTACATCAGTGCCTGCTGTCCATGTGATGCCTGTTTGTGTGTGTGTGTATAGAGCAGTTGTCGAGGCAGGCTCATGCAGTGCTTGTTTCGATGTCGGATGGTGAGATTCGTAACTCAGATATCAGAATCCAAAGATGTCGACCGACCACAAAGGCCACATCTTCAAGTGTAGCATTTTTTTACACAACTCAAAGAGAGAGCCGAACCCGGATGCAAAGATGGATGGGACCACACGATAGACCGGCCGATGTCTGGCAATCCTGCTGTCCCGTTGCCTCGTCGGCCTTGGCTTTGGACCCTCTCCTGGTGCCTTTGTCCACGTGGTCTGTTCGTTGTCTGTTGTCCTCTGGTTCTCGCGGCCCTAAAGGCCACTTGCCATGTCGCATGCACAAAGCACCTTTGCCAAGCGCGCATGCTCTATGTGGCTTCGTCTCTTTGGTGGGTTTGCTCGTGAAACAACACTCATGATGACATCCTGATCCCGTTTGCTTTGCAAACACGACCACAAACTCCAAGCACGTAGGGCATGAATTTCGTGCTCAAGATTGAAATTGAAGAGGTCCTGCCTTTCTGTCTGCAACTAAAATTCAAATGCCCACCATGCCCGAAGCTGCACCATCAGTTTTCACCTGTGGCAGAATTCGATGCACATCCCAAAACGTCCAACCCGGTACCGTTCTGCAGAGTTCTGCACCTGGCCGGCGTGAGGTCCTTGTAGCTCGCCCTGAAGACAGAACCCGTGAGACGCGCGGATTTGACTACTCTGATCCCCTTTCAGCCGCAACACCTCTGGGCTTTGGCAAAATGTGCTTTGCCAGGCGCAGCCTGCTCCGCAGGGCCTGGAGGCAGAGGGATGCAAAGGGCTTTGTTGGTGCACTTTCTCAACTTCAACCTCATACGCCCTGCGCCCCGTTGCATTGAGAACCCCTCCGTTTCGCACTGCTGCCATCGTCCTTGCCGTCGCCATCTTCTACCTCATTTCTGTGATTGCATGAATTTCTGTACATTTCATCAGGATCCAGCAACTCTGAGAGACACGCCTGAAGCACATGTGACTCCACGGATTCAGCCGGTAAAATTCCATTCGCCTCAAAACGAAACTGTCAGCACCCAAAGATTGGCAGCTTGAGGACTCACTGGGGAGCACCATCTCCTGCGCAAGTTTCGCATCATTCTCCTGCTGCGCGTTGCCCTGACCACAAACACAAACATGGAACCATATGCTGGCAAATACGACACACTCGTGCGATGCGAATATACGAAGCAGCAGAACAGCCCTGCACAAATTAAGCGCGAGGGAGATACGATGATGTTCTCCTTTATCTGATTTTTCTGCCGCTGCGGCACGCCGAACCTCAGCGGATGCATCAAGAAGAGAAGCCCCAAACACTGCTCGGTAAAGCCAGATAAACCAGGCAGCGGACACTAGCTGAGTTTACTCTACATCTCGATGTGAAAGGCGAGAACAAATATGTTGATCCAACAAACTATTCTATAAGTAGCTGTCCAACAACTGGCAATCTACTTGTGAACCTTGTCGTGTCCAAATGTCTTCCCTCCAAATGCCAAAGGCAGGAATCGAAACCTTGACTAACACAACATGGCAAACGATTAGTTGAACAGTTGAAGCGACTGGACGCTGATGCGTGTGCTTTCCCAGAAACCCCTCTGGGTGGGGTCTCTTTAGATCCCTTAGATCTTGCACCGGGTGGGTCACGGTTTGTGCAGATATGTTGTGGCTCGGCAGCGCCCTCCGACTCTTCGGAGACTTGCCTACGCCGGGCGCGCGGGGCCCGGCCTTTAAGCTGAGGCAGGGCTCTTGTGCAAAGTCTTTGGATTCCGGGGCTTACCTCGCCTGTCCTCCCAGAAGTTTTGTCGGGTCCTCTTCGCCTTGAGCTCTGAGGGTCGTCCACGGTATGCAGAGCGAATTGCCCAGGACACAGGTGGCATCAAGGGCCGTTGTGCCAGTGCCTTCCCAACAGCCTTGTCTACAGTAACGCAGCACTCTTCAAAACGCCGCTGCAGCAACCTTTCTTTTTCGAGAAGCCTAATCATTGCCAGGGGAACCACAGAGCATCCTGCGATTCAGCCTTCACTTGTTCCACAACTTCAGACGTGGTAAGGAGATGACATGGAATGAAGTCATGGTCTGCAGTGAGACGCGACGGTCCACGACAGTGAATTTGCATTGTACCCACCGACATGCTGAAGAACTGCCAAGCTGGAGGCAACCTCAAGCTGACACTCTGAGTGCTGTGCGACTTTGACTTGAGATGCTCCACCCCATCCCACTCGGGAGGCGGAGGATTCTTCATGTACTCCTCAATGGCTTAGCTGTGTTGCCGTGAGCAGGGAGCACAGCGCTGAGTTGAGTGGCCTCGCATCTGCAAATCATCATGTTGGACCTGAGAGCAAGCACCCACATTCAATCGCACAGCTTCTGGAGTGTTGGTCGGTCCGTGAGCATCCTGCGTCTCATCATCTGGTCTGTCCGCGACTGCGAGGAGAGATGACACCTGCAACTAGGGAGCAAGCCCGACAGAGCCGCACATGAATGAAGAAATGGCTGCAGCACATTCGCCAGCCAGGCTTGACAGTCTCGGCTTCGGGGGATGGTTGGACTCAAAGGACTCATGTTGACCAGAACTGTTCTTCCAATTAGCTTCGGAAGAAAAGTGAGCAATACTCCGCTCACATCGATCCTCCTCGAACTTTTCCATAGCCTCCTTGAACTTCCGTGCCTTGCATAGCAGCCGACAGAATCCCATCCACGACTTTGAAAGTTTCATGCCGGTCCGAGTGGCCAAGTATAGGTCGAAGGCCAGCTGGTGACGTTTCACTGCCTCTCACATCGATTCACTGCCTCAAACTTGTTTGTCTCCCTCCCCTTCGTATGCCACGTGGCGTTGAGCCTCTGCCAGCGACGGGTGCTCATTCATGAAGCCAATGACTTCACAAACCTAACCCGAGAACGGAGAAACAGTCAGCAAGCAGAACCAGCTACTCAAGCAATGACCTTGGTGGGTTCGCTCTTGCCTTTCACGGCCACCAGATCAACCGGCCTTCGGTGCGAGACTTGGGATAATGCTTGATTATCCTCGAATGCGCGATACGAAAAAGCTTGAAACGAAAATTGGATCCGTGATAGTCCTGCAGACTGCAAACACCAGAACGCGCTTTGTTTCGCGAGCAAGGTATCAGGCTCGTGCCTTGTTGGTTTCCGAGGAGTGGATGCTACAGCGATACAAGCAATTGAGTTTGATTTAGCATTGGAGAAACGCTTGATGACCGTGACAGCCAAACCGGATGTGCAAGGGCTGTTGGAACACGAAGCGCTTGCATGCCATGCCAATCTGTGGCCAACGTTCCCAAGCTCAGTCACAAGCTTTCGAGTTCCCGATTTCAGGGATCCCGCACGTGCGAGCTACCCAAGTACGCAGTATGCTTTCGACGCACTTGCAGCGACGCATTAAACCAACGCGTGCAAAGCCAAAGCTTCAGCTTGCTGGCAAGCCTTCTCACCTGCGACCTGTAACTGCCGGAGACTCTAATCGACTCTGCAGCAAGTCGTGCTCTTACCTCGCCCCCCAGCATGACTCATGGCACAAAAGAGAGCGAGCCCGTGCCTGGTTGCAAGGTTCAAGGGTATCTGTTGCGCCGACAGCGCATTTTGGCTGCAAAGTGTGCAGGTTCCATATCTGGTATTCAAGCCTGGTCAAGGAGGAAGCAGTTGGTTGCGGTTAGTTGTGGGGGAGCGCGCAGCTCCCGCGGGGCCCAGGCCTTTCATGCGCGCAGCAAGGTTCACACCGTCTCCGAGCAAGCCGTACTTGATCCTCTGGTGAGAACCAATGTTCCTGCAAGGATACAATGAAGCGGGAACCATGCTCATAACGAAAGCACTCTGCAGAGCGCTCCCTGCAAGGATGGAAGCCTCAGTCCGAATGATTTCCAGACAGAGAAATGAAGTTTTCTTACATTCCAGTGTGCTTGCTTGGCTTCTTGGCCCAAAACCGTGCATCAGCCGAGCCTATCAGCCGATCAGCCGACCAGCCCATCAACCCTAAATCCTAACCCTAAATCCCTAAACCCTAAACTCCGGCCTAAGCGCCGCCGCCTGGTAAGCGGCGGCGGCCACAGCGCCCCCTCGCTACTTGTGCGACTCACTTCCACCCCGGGCTGTATGCTTACCACGGAACAATACAACTAACTAGCACGTACGTGGCACCACAAGCGTGAGCCTCTCCTCAACACGGACAGTTGAGCTGTCCCGGACGTACGCCAATAATTGCAATACTCTAAACCCTGCACGCTCGTTTCTGCGCATTCGGCACGCTTTTTAGTCTATTCGTCTTTTTGGAAGGGCCTTGATGTTGTCGAAAACAACGAAAAAAGTAGGATTTTGCTTGTCAAGGCCACAATCCTCGTGACAGTTGTCGAATTCTGAGCTTTTTGTGGATCCTCCCTGACGGATTCTGAGCTTCGGATGGCTTCTCGGAGGAAATCAACAAAAATACGACCAGAAAGGCACGAAACTCGTGGTTTTGCGAACCATCCCCAATTTCGGCGGGCCCAGCGGAATATTTAGGGCTGATGTTCGGTCACTAAATTCTGCTTATAAAAAGTACCATTTCACTCTGGGTCGTCGGCCGATATCGGGGTTTTCCCTCCATTTCGGCGGCTCCGACGGCCAGACTCCAGAAAATCCACGGCTCCTCCGGAATGGCTGCTGCAAAAGAAGCATTTACCGGCAAGTTCGACGATTTTTGTGGTTTTGCGGGCCTCCACCCATTTCGACCAGAAGCCCGGTTTGCAGTAAATTCGACGATTCTGGTGTTTGCAGGCCTCCTCCAAACTTTGGGGTTGATTTTCTGAAAATAAACGCTGCTAATAAAGGGTGCTATTTACTCTGGCCTGTCGGCCGATCTCGGGACATTCATACTGGTTCTTAATTCAATATTTTAAAGCGAGCGCCAGCAATAGTGACAACGACGGCAACCAACAGCAGCAACACCCTCGGAAGCAGCAGCAACAACAACAAGTCTAACTCCAAATCACGCGCCCCCTCTAAAGTTAACCCTGTCAATTACAAGGCTATGTTTTGTCTGGTTTGTCTGGCTGCCCATTTCGGTGGTGCGGACGACTGCTGAGACAAAAACTCAGAGCTGCCTACCCCTGTTTCGGACGTTGTGGGTTGTGACATAAACAAAGCGAGTTTAAGCTCTAAGCCGTAAAAATAAGTATGTCTGGGTGGTGCGCCGCCTCATGAACGGCGCGGGGTGGAAGAAAGGAAATCGGGCTGCCACAAGCAGGCCGAAGGGCAACTTTCGCTGCAAGCACGCCATCCACGGCAAGCCTGACCCCAGCACTGACGTATTAACCGTCCCCGGAAACCTAACAACTTCCCTGAATAAGCGCGAAACCCTAAACCCTAAACCCCTAAGCCCTAAACCCCCAAGCCCTAAACCCTAAACCCCCAAACCCGACCAGCCAATGGACTGATCGGCTGATGCGCAGTCCCTCTCTGCGAGCACAATGTTACATTCGCTTCAAGGGGCGGTGTGGACTCCAACTCGACACCGAATCGGCTTCTCCTGCAGAATTGCGCGATGGCAATCGGCTGTGGCACGCGCCGAAGTACAAAGCACATCCTGATTCCCGACCAGGACTTTGTGCTGGACGACAGCCTGGGCACTTTCCGTCTGGCAGATCGGCAGTGTAAGTCACTTGTCAACGTGTCGCGGGCCTTCTGGATTGCCAGGGCACACAGCAAGCCAGCTGAAGCCTTGGCGCACATGCTGCACTTCAGTGCATGGGTCACACAACTTGTCTACAACAAAAACTATCCTGGCTGTATTGGCAAGCTCTGTCTCGCTTGTAATTTCTTTCTTTCTTTCACGTGGACTCTATCTGAGGGTTAGTGTCCCATCACCAGCAAAATTAGCAAAGAGTAACACACTTCACAATACCTACGCTCAACCACACTGGCTCTCTTCTCATCCACTGCCCGAGCAGCAAGGGAAGACTTCCCAGTGCAAGTCTGCGCACTGGATACAGTGGCGGCAGGATACTTTTGGAAATGAAAGCCTTCGCTGGAGGCAGCCTCGTCGCGCACCCAGGATCCAACTAGAATGACCCTCCATGCGGCGGGAGCAAAGTTTAGGTTGCGCTCTTTTTCATTGGATTACTTGTTGCGGGACCCTAAAACCCGAAACACATCAATGCCCCTAAGCCCTAGGGCCGACCACCTTTAGAGTGAGGTCCGCCGGAGTAAGGTTTATTGAGGGTGCTAGGCCTAAGTTGTTTGTGGATGGATTGCTGTTGGCCTGTCGGGGTTTAGGTTGAGCCGTGGCTCATTAATGCAATCGACAACAAAGTCGGAAATACAACAGACTCCCTGGGCTTACTGTTCCTTCGCCCCAACCTTGGCTGTATTGGGGCCTCGCTTTGGCGCTTGCACATGTTGTGCGCTTGACGATGACTAAGCAGCTGGCCTCCTCCAGGCGTTCCAACTCTATGGACTCTCACTTCTTTCTTTCCTTTCTCCCTCCCTCCCTTCCTCCCTTCCTTCCTCCCAACACCATAACACCATCAACGCCAGCAGCAGCAGCGGCGGCAGCATCGGCATTTGCAAAAACTGCAACAACTACCGTTCTGCCGTCTGCTCACCTCATGCCAACATGCAGCGTGTTGCAGAACCTGACTGCGCAGCGGGCGTGGTTAGGCAGCTTGTTGGGTGCATTGAACACGGCCATGACCTGCATCGGGTACTGGAACTCTGTCCCAGATTATGCAGGTGTCCCAACTCGAGGGCCCCCATGCCTCATCGCTGATGAACTCCAGAAACGTCCCATTCTGGAGCTGTATTTCATCTGCGATTGTCCCCAAGACACCTCCGCAACTATCTGCTTCAGGGCATTCCTAGTATATACACGCTACTTCGAACGTCCAAAAGACCAATCGAGGATCCCTCACACCATCTGGCAGTACACCAGCTGGCTGTCATCAGATGGCAAGCTATCAAGCCTGTAAGCTTGCTCAGGACGGCGTCGGGATCCATCTCGCGACAAGTCTCCTGTAACCGAAAGCAAAAAACCCTGCAACCACTTGGAGATTCTGTTGGTACGTCCTCGAAGCCTTCGATGTCACAGAACAAAACCGTTACCTTGCAAACCAAGGTATACGATTACAATCAGGGGCGGCTGCAAACCAAGTTTTTCGTCGCGCATGGAACGAGACACTCTCTACAACTACTTTCCGGTCTCGCGCTAACAGTCTGGCCCTGAGGACGAGGCTTCGCATCTGGTCACTCCGACTTTCGCCTCTTGGCAACTCAACATTTCGCCACTTCTGAAGCTGGCGCCATGCTAAGGCTGTGCGACCTGGCCTCTAGTCCTGCATCGTAGAAGCGTTCCACCACAGAGGGGGGAACAAACAGCGACCAGGACCTGCCGGCTGCGCTATCAGCTGGTTCTCTCCACTGCTTAACCATGCCACACAAGGACTATCGATCTTTCCAAAAGGATGTATTGACATGCAACAAGAAAAGATATTTCCCAAATACTAGGTTTACTGCAAATTTCAAGACCATGGTTGCCAGATGTTTCCAGAGTCTTGCACTTGCCAAAGCTAAGCATCCAAAACGAAAACATGTTCAAGGTCGAGGGTCACCAAATCTCAAAGTTGCTGCCCTAACCAATCGAGCTACAGAGACTTATGCTTAAGCATATGTTCTCACTCTGATCGCACTGAAGAAATTCAAGTGAAACATAACCCAGGTTTGCCATTTGGGAATCGAAGCTTCGCGATTGGCTCTTCGAGGTGTGGCTTGAAGCTGGGAGTGAGCACGGGGATGCATGCCGAAACAACACACACAACCCCAATACACGAAAGGCACATCCAAATGCAAGGAAAATCAAAACAAATCAAACAAGGTATGGAATGAAAAACGCGAGGAACCAGCAGACGGAACCACATTGCACAGAGTCAGTTATTCACCTAAAACCGGAACAACATGGAACTAACATGTGCAACTACGATGACATTCCGACGCACGGATTAATGCACACACGGAGAGACAGAGAACTAGGGTGCACGCACGGACATAACGGGGGTGCAGGTCGTTGTGGCAGACGCTGGCCTCTTAACATCTCTCAATGCGCTCCGGAGATCTATGAAATCGAAATCTGAAGTCCTCACATCCTATTGCTCACACATTCTGGGTTACATCGGTGAAACTTGCGGGTTGCCTGATAGCGCTGCGCATGGCACGGAAAGCCGTGTTGAGGTTCTCAAGCTCCTACGTTCACAGGGACCCTGCAATGCAAAGAAAAGACTTCCCGAAACATGAGCGCATCCTCTGCAGTCTTGATTTTGTCTTTCGAGGTTTTGCTGCTCAACATCCCCGTGCCGGGGGCAGTGTGATCGTCGATGCCAACCTGATAAGGCAAAGGTGCGGAAGCGCAGAGAGTGCTCTGTGGCAAAGGGCAATCGGCAGTGAGCTTTCGACTAATTCCAGGCTGGACATGGCCACCATGTCGTCCACCAGAGACCGAAGGGGCTGCAACAAAGTAGTCGAAAACCTGACTGTGGTTCGTGGTCAATCTAGAACCACAGTCTAACCCTTCATAGTCAATGTCAGTTTGCACTGGTGGATGCTTGGACAGCATCCTGTTATGCCTCTTGCCGCACTGAGGGGATCACGTTGAGATCTTCACATTGAGCACATAAACCTTGGAACCACAGCGGCCAGCTGAGCACAATGAATCAAGTTGAATCGCAGGTCCAGTCAGTCTCGCGCTGACAGAGGGATCTGAATCAACACTGCCAGGACTGTCATCAAGGACCAGAACGCGGCTTCCTGTCCATGCCACGGAATCTTGAACTTTCTTGATTTGCCGCTGCCGCTTCTGCTTGCCTTGGCCTTCTCCGACAGGTCTACCAAAGAAAGGCCTCAGACATGCGAGATACTTTGCCAACCAAGCTCCCAAACAATCCTTCAATCAAGGTCCAGGCTGCCAGTCCTCGAAACATGGTAACAATCGGCCAAGAGCTCAAGAACAGATCCGAAGCTCAGACATTCAGCGCTAAAGGTCCTGTTCCCCTCCAACAGTGGCAACTCGTCGCAGTCGTCCACCAGCCTGCTGAGGACGCAGCAAGTCCTGAGAGAGAAAAAGTGCGCTGCTGCGCATTTTGGGCTGGAAGTGCCGCAAAAATGAGAAGAAAAGACGGTCTCAAGCGCCGGGCTTCTCGATTTCTGTCGGGCGAAGTTTCGCCTTGCAGAAGTGAAGAAAAAGTGGAAGAAGAGAGAGCTACTTCGTAGCCTTACCGCGTTGCCTCGGCGGCGAGCAAGTCGGTCCGCTCGAGTGCAAGGGCGGGCGAGATCTGACGTGCCTGAGCTCCCAGCACCCTCCAAGCACCACCGGCAGGGCAGGAACACAAAGCCCCCGTCTTGAGTCGTCAAGCAGGTGCCACCTTCGAAGTGCTCCCAGCCTCTGCACTGACATATGGTGAACGTGCAACGTGCTGACCATGCTGACCATGATGCCACACACAACTCAGAAAGCTTCCATCCAGGTAGAGGTACATCACCGAGTTGTGTCTGAGCAAGCCCGCACACGCAGCTGTGCACCGAACTATGCTCAAGATGCCGTATGAACAATGATGATCAGCGGGACCATAAGACTCCGCCACAGATCCGAGGCAGGTCACACAACGAAGGGCTGAGCACGCCGCCGGGCATAAACATCTATCTGCGCCTTACGACAGCACCACGAATCTACAAAGCATTCGGACGGGTTCCCTCTAAGCTGTCCTTGCCAGCAACGCGATGCTGCACATCATGTTAGATCAGGCAAGACAAGGTCAAACCGATGAGAACCAAACATGTTCCCGACTTGAGCATCCAAGATTCGTTGCCTTTCGAATCGTGTCAAACTGTTATAGGATGGCATCTGTTCGGCAGTTCTGAAGAACAATCGTTCGAAGTGCACATAGAATAGTTTGCTTTTGTTTCTAGCTGTTCGGGGGACTTCCAGACGATTGCAACGGATTTGCAAAATCTTTTGCAGCTGCACGGAGAGGGTTTTTGTTTCAACGTTTCGAAGGGTTCCAAGCTCCGCAGAAGTCAGCCGTCGGAGCTTCGGGCGCTGCTTGAAATGGCTTGCGAATCCCACCGCGCCCGGGCCGAGGATCAGCGAGTTCTTGAGCGGGCCTTCAGTTCGCACACCTAGATTGACTAAGGAATCGTCACAGACGTCGAGTGGGAACACGTCCGACCAGTGATCGAAAGACTATGAACGTCCGAGAGATGAGTCACGAGCTACCCGACACAACCATGTTCGGTCATGAGAGCACTAAATATAGTGATGTGTTACCCTGACGGCATAGGGGCGGACATCCCAGACGAAAACAGGAGTGTCTAGGTCCCAAAATTTTATCCGGGCTCTTGTGGGGTCAGGGTGGGTCAGGGTGGGAGGCCACGGGATGCAGGCAGAAGGGTCAGGCCACCTGAAATCGGCTTCAAGCGGCCACGCGGAACTTATTTCAAGCCTGGTTCTGGATCTTGGCACCATCAGAACAGCATAGAACAATCCAACCACTCAGAGCTGCAGCCCAAAGCCAGCAAAGCTCGGCATCGCCATTGGCATCCGAAAAAAATCAAGCTGCCAGGCCTTGAGCCAAAGCCCAAACATCCCCGTTCCGAAGGCTTACTTACAGTTGCAGAGCTGGGTCTTGGCAGGTCCTGGCGAGGCGATCTTCGCGAGAATTTACTCAAGGTTGAGCATCCGCAAGGGAATGCGGCGGCTTGCGTGTGTGGAACTCCTTTATCTGAGGATTTCGTTGATCATCAATTGTGTTTGCAAGATCATAGAGTCCATGAAAAGAGTCTTCATTAAACGGAAGAATGCAAGGGGCTGGCAGCCTATTCCGTGATACCAGCCAACGGAACCAGCGAAAGCAGATCGAATTCAAGAACATGATATGAAAGCAGATTGTGAATGCAGGGAGCTGGCAGCCTATTCCGTGATGCCAGTCAACAAAGCTAGCGGAACAGGTGGAAGGAACTATGGACGCATAGCTTTGTACCTGCAGAAGGTTTCACCGCCGAAAGAGAGACAGAGAAAAAGAGAGAGAGAGAGAGGGAGATATATAAATCTATCAATATAAATATGAATATAAATATAAATATGAATACAAATATAAATGAAAATATAAATATATAATTATTCATTTATTGACTTAATTATATTTATATATTTTTATTTTTGTTTATTTATGCATTTATTTATTTATTCATTCATTTATTCATTTATATTTATATCTATTAATATATGTTTGTATTTATATGTGTATATGTATGTGTATATATATATATATTTATTTGTTTATTTATATATATATTTATTTCTTTATTTATATTTATGTATTCATATTTGTTTATTTCATGGCCTTGAGCTCCTGTATATAATCAAAAGAAGTTGCTGCGTTTTGCCTCTGCACAACTCGTAGTGTGCAAGTTGATAAAAAGCCCCACGAGCTGTACAGTTGTAGTTTTGTAGCTGATAAGAGACGACAACAAAAACAAAGCACAAAGAAAGAAAAGGAATACCGACAGCCGACAGCCGGCTACGACAGGGATCTCCATGTCTGTCATTCCGCTGGTAATTCTGACAAAGGGCCAGACATGATGGGCGCTGCCCGGCAAGCATACCCGACATGGATTCTGATCACATTCTAGTATCAGACCAGACTATTATCCAAATACCCTGCTATCAGAAGGCTAACGCAATCCCAATCATACCCGTGCCAGAAAACACCCAAGCATCTCTGACATGTCTCTTTGAGGTGTCTCAGACTATTAAGCAAGTATACCCAACCGATAGCCGAAGTTGACCCGAATCATACTGGTAAGTATAATGCCCAAAGCTGATCCAAGATGCTACAAAGTTGTACAAGCATCATTTCTGATGCTCCCAGAAAGCACCCAAATGTCTGGTTTCACCCGAGAAGCACCCAGTCGCCACCCAGAAGGCACCCATCGTTTCGTATGAACAACAAATGCATGAATGACTGAACATGTGTTCATTCTCATTTCGCTTCTATCATAATCAAACAACACGATTCGTTTCGCCACCCAAACGACACCCAGCATTCAGGACTGTTCGTCTCGTTTCATTCTGTTTTAACTTCACCTCAATGCTGAAGAAGAAAGGGACGACTGTGGTAAGGAGGTAGATTTTTTACTTTTCAAGTATTGCTCAGGGGCAGACCTGTCAATTTTTGAGGATTGATTGCTTGACAATTATGTTTCGTTCAGAGGAAAACATTTCAATCTTCAGATGTTGATAATCAAATATTCTATTCAGAGTACGTTTTTGATATAGTTCATTGGCCGTAGTTGTTATAGCCATGCCGACTTCACAAGTCAACGTTCACCGGGCTTATGCTTCGAGAAGTAGATCGTCAATATACGAATGAGTTTGTGGAAAGATCCAGCAAATGAAGAATGCAGGGGACGACGACGACAGAAGAGAACACAAAAGACAAGGGCATTGCGAGGTAGAGCTCCCGACCGTTCTGCTTCTGGGAAGCTAAAGTTATGAACTAAAGTTATGAAAACCCAAGCTTTAACCATGTAGTAGCTAAAGCGCTTCCAACAAGATCAAAGCTCACGAGGCCCAAGCATCAACCAAGTTTCTTGTAGAGCTGCTAGCAATTTTTGCTTCCAAAGAGCTTGAAGTTGACAAGACCCAATCTGTAACCAAGTTCGTGATAGAATTGCTAAAGACTTTTGCTTCCAAAAAGCATAAATAAAGTTCACAAAGCCCAAGCTTTCATCAAGTTGCTTCTAAATGCAGCTGGAGCCTTTTGTCTTCCAATCCTGCAGGCTAAAGATTGTGGACATTGTTTTGTCAACTTTCGGTTCAAACTGGTTTGTGTTTATGACAAGGGACATTACCAGCAGAGCTTCAAGTTTGCATAGGCTTCTAGAAACTGCTGGAACCACCTATCTGCAAATGTTTCACCCTCCGATAAGAAGATACTCAGCCTCGAGATCCAATTACAAATCAATTGATGAGTTGAACAATTGTATACAATTGTATTGCCTCTACAAACTCTTACACAGTGCAATGTGGCTGCAAAGGTCTCTTCAGGCTCAACAACTACCAGCTCATTAAGAACATTACGACGACGACAAAAGAGACGACAAAGGCAAAGGCATTGTAAGGTAGAGCATCTGGAGCCTTCGGCTCCCAGAGAAGTTACAGTTTAGAAAGCCCAAGCTTTCGCCTTGACTTGTTGTAGTTGAAGATGAGGCCCCAGTTTCAGCCAAGTATCTTGTAGAGCTGCCAGCAAATGTCTTGAAAAGCAGCTAAAGCCCTTTTACATGGGAATTATGAAAAGCTCGAACCCACGTACCTTCAACATTTCACCCTCAGATACGTGGCGTTTGCATATAAGAGGATACTCAGCCTTGAGATCCAAGTACACGTTAATTCAAATGATGACCTGAACAATTGTATTGCAATCTACAATTTTTTGCACAGTGCAAAATGGCTGCAGAAGTCTCTTCAGGCTCAACAACTAGGAGCTTATTCGGAACAGTATTACGACGACGACAAAAGAGACGACAAAAAACAAGGACATTGCGACGCAGAATTGTTCGAGCTTCTTCCTTTCAGCGAGGTTAAAGTTCAGAATAACCAAGTAGTAGCAACAGAACGTTCGCTTCCAAAGAGCTTACATTTCACAAGGCCCACGTTGGCCAAGTTTTTTGTACGGCAATTAGAGCCTTTTGCTTCCAAAGCATTCCGCTTTACGAGGCCCAAACTTTTGCCAAGTGTCTTGCAGAGCAGCTAGAGCCTTTTGCTTCCAAAAAATTTAAAGGTTACAACCCTAAGCGTTTTGCGGTTAAAGAATTCAGAGTTCACACAGCTCAACTTTTAGGCAAGTCTGTTGTATAGCAGCTAGAGTCTTTTTGCTTCCAACGAGCGCAAAGTTTGCAAGGCCCAAACTTTAGTCAGAACAGTTAAAGCCATTTTGCCCTAAGCGCTAGGCTTCCAAAGAGCTTAAAGTTTACGAGGTCCAAGTTTTAGCCAAGTGTCTTCCAAAGCGGCTAGAGCCGTTTGCTTCCAAAGCTTAAAGGTTACGAGGGCTTCTCGTGAAGTAGCTGAGCTTTCGTATTCCAAGAACTTAAGGTTCACAAGGATCTTTTGTTGAGCGGGATGCACATATAGAGACCAAAGCATGAGCGACAGCTCTTATGCGTCCAAGGAACTTGAAGGGCACACGGCTCAAGACGCTATCGTAGAGACCAAAGAACAAGATCGTGCGTTTCGCAATTGTGTGTTTCCTGAGGTCTCTGCATAACATGCGCATTCGATTTCTGCGTCGGTTTCTACACGCAAGTTATGATTCAAAGCAAAGTAACGACAACACTATGACGAACGTAAATTTTGCAAGGGAGCCTTGGCCTTTGCTGGCTCTAGATCGTTGAAGTTGAAGCTGCTACAACAAAAAAGATGAGCTCCAATCTCTTCCGGCGCATACCGCTCAGCATGACGGAGATCGATTGTCTAATAAATTTAACTTCCCAAGGGCTATAATTGAAAAACTTCACGTCAAAAAGAAAACGACTAAAACCTTCTGCAGGGCAAGACACATGAGACTTGATCAAGGCTGCTTCTACCGGCTCCGAATCGACAAAAGAAGGACGAGCTTGCCTCTGAGTGCCTCACCAAAGGTCTGGATCGCCACCACTGCAGCTAGCAGCTCGGTCATACAGATCTGAGCTTTTTGAAGGAACCACCGCTGCATGATCTGCGTGGAGACTCCAGACGAAAGCTGCCTAGGGGGGTCATCCCTCGTGAACATCACCCCCCTCCATCATCTCAGTAGACGGATGCATCGGTGAAGACCACCACGTCGGACTTCTTCGGCCCAGTGGAGGCCCGTGCATTACCAGCGTTCGCCATTTGTAGATCGAGTAGCGCAAAGCTGGGGATAGCCCGGTCGAGGTGGTCTTCCGAGAGTACTGCCGATCGGGCAAAGCCCTCAGAAAAGCCCGTCCTATCTTCCCCCAAAACTGAGAAGCCCCGAACATTAAGGCTTCCCTCGAAGTTTCCTGGCGAAAGTTCTTCGTGTTCCAGGGTCATGGATATCTCCTCGAAAAGCTCCTGCTTCCTCGACTTCTTGATCTTAAGCAAGGTACTGGTCCAAGTCATACGTGACCCCCAAGATCGTCGGGAAGGAGCACAACTCGAGCATCTGCCGGTCAAAGCGAGCGCCTAACCACCAGTGAACCTGCTCCGCCAGCGCGAACGCTCCTTCAGCAGTGCTCGCGGGCTCGAACCCGTACTTGTCATCATAGACTTGTCATCATAGAAATTGAACGCGGCCACGGTGAAGACCGCCGAAGGATGTCGGTGATTGCTGCCGAACGGTGGTTGTAGACCGCGGACACCAACCAACGAGTGGCCGATCATCGCAAAGAAGGCGACCTTGCCTGCAGCCGGATCCTTGAGTGCGACCACACTCCATTTCCGATGGGCCGGCGAGATCGGGATCTGTCGATAGGCCCGCCTCTCACCAAGAACCCAGCCCTGCAACGGCTGGTCAGGCAGCCGTGATCGCAGCCACTTGATGGCCGCCACATTGGCATCCGTAGAAGGGAGCTCAAGCTTTTCCGTGCACGGTAGCCATGTTGATCCCATTGGAAGTATTGATCTCAAACCCCCGTCACCTTGTTCTTAGTCTTCTGGACGACCCTAAACCGCTGAGTAGGGATCCAGCGATCGTCACCCGCGCGCTCCGAGATGTGGTTCAGATCGAAGAAGGGCCCGAATCGCAGCTCCTACTTGGACCTCTGCTTTCTTGCCCGACGAGCGACGAGCGTTGTTGATGATCAACCGTCAACCATTTTCACGGAGCTCCATGAACGTTGCCTATGGGCGTCGGAAGTGACCAGAGAAAGAGTAGGGGGCGGGCCAGTCGCACCCAGCATGGTCAGTATGAACGGCGGCCGGCATGAAGCCGAGCTGGCGCAGCTGCTCGAACTTGTTGAGCGGCACACGATCAACACTCTATACTGAATAGGCGGCGAGGATCACTCACGTGCCTTTCCAAGGCATGGTCATGTGAAGAGCCTCTTTGGCATTGAATAGGATCATGTTGTCCTCGAAAGGGGTGATCCTGCCCGATATCTGATGACCGTTGATCTCGGCTACATCCGTCCCGAAGGCGCCTCGACCCACAATTTGCCGCCCTCAAAGGAACTCAGCTTGAGGAAGACGTTCGGGAGCTCATCATTGCCAGAAGCTCGATGAGGTTTGGCCTGCTGGCCGTGAAGCACGGTGGCCCAAGGCCACTCATGGCACGACGAGCGGTGTGATCGCGAGCCCCAGCAAGGAGCCCTGCCGACACGTGCTGATCATACATGTGACGGTGCCCACATCCTCGGTGTTCGCCGCCCGGAGCTGTTGTACCTGGTCCGGGCCTTCCACGCAAGCGCGTTGTTGGCGACAGGCCTGAATGGTCTTGATTAGGGCCGGTCCAGAAATACGGCTGACCGAAACCCACGTCCCTGGTACGGACGTTCGCCCACACTTCAGGTCGATCAGGCCGTTGGCATCCCTGAATCCTAGCCCTCCGTCGACGATCCGGAGGTAACCCGGAGCTCACAATTGCTCCTGGCATGATCGCTGGCCACCAGTGACCCGCATGGCCCGATCGATCGAGCAAACCCTCGCCCCCGACCTCGAAGGACGTCACAGAGACCTGCCATCCAACGAAGACGGAGATCACGATCGAAGGCCTGAACCAGCCCTCGTTTGCCGCGCGGACTAGCACCTCATCACAGAACTGCTGCTGCACCGAGAGGTTGGCCGATTGGAGACATTGACATCCACGTAGGTGGCCGAACAGAAGCCGTGTGGGACAGAGCACTGCTTGCATGGGAGTCCAACTGAGCACACGGGCCTCCGGTACGAGACGACGTGATGAACACCAAGACCGCTAAGATGCCGTCGAGCGTGTATTTTGCGAACAGGGAGCAGGGATAACCGGAGTTCGGCGGCATCACCTGATCCCGCTCCGTGAGCACATTGATCGAGCTCGCGGCTTTGGACATGATTTCGTCTACCAGTCAGTTCTGGAACGAGCTGATAATCCGCTCGTCTCTGTTGTCGACCACGAGCAGTGAGCTCCGTGATGGATCCTGCTGTTCCACCACTAATTGCTCCACGAGCTCTGGCTTCTGGACAGCAAAGGGCTTGTGAGCTGCCGGTGCACCTGGCTCATTTTCCGCGGGCGGCGACGATCGTCGCACCCCCAACCAGTTCCCCAGTCTCCTGATCCTGCAGGCGGAGCCGCCGGGTTCTCGGGAGCCTTCGCCTGACCAGGGGCCACACATGCCAGCTGGGGCACCTGTTGCTGGGAGCTGGGTCCACGATGGGGACCTGCTGCGGGGAACGACATGGCTGCACAGTCGAGGGATCTAATCTTCCCCACGCCGACGATCGAAAATCTGGGCCGATCGGCTAATCATCAAAATGGCCACGGATCGAAGTGTAACAGCTGTTCTTCCGATCGTGAAAACTGATCTCCTAATTTCTAACCAACCAGACCGTAAATTAGGAAACTGGCCTTGAGCTCCTGCTGCTGCCTTTTGCATTTACACAACTCGTAGTGCGCAAGTTGATAAAAGGTCCCACGAGCTCTACAGTTTCTAGTTGTGTAGCTGATAAGAGACGACAAGAACAGCAGCCGCAAGCTCAGCAAGCCCTCCCTCCCACCGAGGTCTATACTTTTATCCAAGTGGCGATAAATGTGCTGTTAACGGAGGCAGCCTCTCCGTTCGGAGTCCCAGCCCGCCACCAGTGAAAGAGGGATGCCACTCTTGCACTGGGAAGGTGGGGACGCACAAATGACGCCGCTTGAATGGAGAGGCCCCCTTGTTTTTGGTTTTTTGTTTTTTTGCCTTAAGGGTCGTCGTCGGAGCTCTCGCTATCCTCGTCTGGATAACACTTGTGGCACCTCCGAAAGCTAGTGTGCGGTTCTTCGAGAACATACGTGGACACATGCGATAACCCAGCAAAGGGCCATCCGCATAGTGTGGTCCATGACCTGGTGGATGACTGAATGTCAACAGAAGCGCGGTGCAATGCCCTGCTCTCTTCGTTGAGAACGTACCACGGCTGAGATCCAGCAGATTCCTCTAGCGAAATTGACATGCCATCCAACACAGTTTCGGTATGATCAACCCTGTCAGTCAAAGCCTCGACAAGAGCGAGTTCAGCCTTCATGCAGAGTGACCCACGAAATGCCTTCAACCCGGACTCAAGCTGAGCAACATGCTGCAATGTCTCTTGCAACATGTCCATGTAGCAGGCGAGGTCGCGAAATTCTGAACCTTCCGCGTTAATCAATCGCTGTGGCAAGGAGGCGGCGCCCTCGTTCATCAATCGCTGAGCCAGGTCAGTTAGCGGGGCCTCGGCTATGTAGGAAAGGATAGGATAGCCATCGAACCCCAACGACCCAGCAACTGAATGGTGATCGCATCCAGTCCCCAGAGCGACAATATGCGAGCACCTGTGATGCGAAAGGCGTGCCCAGTGTACAAGTGTTTGCCTACCGGGTCAAAAATTGATGCACCTGTAAGAACCACAGCCGCGCGAAGAGTCTCCACCACTGCGCCTTTGGTGCATCCACGTCCTTCATTGTCCATGAACAAAGGGCCAGGACAAAGACCTTTGTCTTGTGCGATGGCCCTGTATCGCAACAAAATATGATAAACGCATGGTTTGCCCAGGGTGCATAAGCACCCCCAGCTTCTCCGACACCCCTTAGCACTCCAATCTGTTTTTGACGACGGGAGTGTAAAGGTGACTGTCCGCCTGTCTTCGGCCAGAACTACGTCTCGCCACGAGGCTGAGGCGGCCTCGATTTCTCGAAGCAGAAAGAAAACTGACGTTGCCACCAGCGCCAAGGGAAAGATTGGTCCCCCCTGTGAAATGGGCAGCTCATGGCTTTCAAGAGCTTTGCAAACATCTTCAAATGGGAATGGCTCTGATCTAATCGGCCCGGCGAGGCCTCTGACCACAGATTTTCGACAGAGCCGACACAGGCGCTCCAGCTGTGGCGATATCTCGTATCCCAATGCCAGATGTTCATCCCTGGCTCGACTCAGGTAGTTGCGGTAGGAGCGATAACCGGCTGCCTTGAAGAGGGCAGCTTCCCGTCTGACAGAATCAGGAAGCAGAGGTAAAACCGGAATTGCCTCTCCCATCGCATATCTGTGAAACCGTCTGTAAGTGGCCCAAACAGCTTCTCTCGGTCCAATAGACGTAGCCGCATACATGTCGCGGTCTAGGTCTTCCAGCGCCGTGTTGTAAGACGATGGGCTTGCAGCGACAGCCAAGGCCCTGTGTGCCGAAGCCCTGACGTGTTCCCTGATCACCGGTACATCAGGACGGCTTGATCTGCCAGTGCGAGTTGATGGCAGCAAGTATTCATTACTTGCGCCGTCATCGTAGGCTGGGTTGCCCGAAAGCTGTGCTGTATCTACATCTGTGCTAGTCGCGTCAGGGCGAGCCAAGCATGAGACAACAGACCGACTCGCGGAATCGTCGGATTGTCTGGCATGAGCATTGGCCAACCGAAGATCGACTCTGGGCAAAAACTGCACCTTGCGCTTGGGCATAAACGCGAGGCTTTGAGACACCGGTCAGCGAGTACCCAACATGCCCTACCAGCATCTGCGAGTGAACAAAAAGACCTACCACCGTCAAACTGGTGCAGTCAAACAGTGGGAAGGGCAATGACTCAAGCATGCGCCTGCGTGACGCACTCGCTGACCGCAGACGGTTAAGGCGACATAAGCAAACCCGGAAAAAGACCTCGACAGCCCCGAAACAGACGACATCATTCAGCAGAAGTAACCTCCCGAAGTCTCGCAAGACAGCCGAGCCTTCCTGATGGGCGAGTCGAATCTGAGTCCCTTGGTCTTTCCGGCGTGGTAGAAGTCTGTTGGCTGTCTTGTGCACCGTGCTTACTGAATCTGCCGCAAACAAACAGACAGTCCTAGAATGACAACCTGTCTTTGAAGGCAGCACCGTGCCTACTGAATCTGCCGCAAACAAACGACAGAAATCCTAGAATGGTCCTAGAAAGACAGGCAAGTTAGACCAAACGTGGGTGGCCCTGCATGGATGCCACATGCAGCGGAGGGAGCACGAATGGAAACACCACATTTGTGACTCCAATGGACTGTCGTAATGCTTGGGTGAAACTCAAAGACGGCCTACTTAAGTGCCACCTGCGAAGCGGCCGTCAATGTCTGATAGAACTGTTCAGTGCGTGCAGGAACGTGAACCTCGCGAACTTCCTTCAACGCCGAGGGAAGAGAGTACGCCTTGCCAGGTTGATATCTTCTGCTCAACGCATCCGCCAACACATTGGCGACACATGGTATGTGTTCCAGGAGGCGAGGTTTGCGTGAGCAGTTCTCAAACAGTAGCGATAACTCTCTGGCTAGCAGATGCATTCCCTTGCCAGGACTACTGGTGTGTAGCTTGTTCACCAACGAAAGCGTGCTGGTGGAATCTGACACAATGGCAAAGGAAACCACGTTCTGCATCCACCAGCTTCGCCAGGTTCGTAAGGCCTGCAACAGGGCCAAGGCCTCCAAGATCTGTTGTGACGCCGCCGTGCCCTGCTCGAAGCTTAATATTCGAGCGTCTGCGTCGTCTACTTTGGACGCGAAGTACCGGACAGGCTTGTCCTCCAGGTACAGTACTGCTCCCAAACCATAAGGCGAAGCATCTGTCACCAAGGTGAGCTTGATTCCACGCCCAAAGTAGGTGGCCATACGATACACACGCGTAGGCGTGCCCTCTTTGCCTAACAGTGCATGCAACCACAAACTAGCATGGCGCCATTGCTTCGTCCAAACCATGCCGGTGGTGGGTGCATTTGTTGTGCTGCTGTCAGTGCGCAAGGCCGCATACACATCGGAAAGGTAAGGCCTGACCATCTCCACAATGCCAGCTAAGTAGTTCAACTTTCCCGCGTAGGTGTTGAGCTCCTTGCGCGAGACAAGTTCACCTGTAGGTGGCGTGTCGTGCTGGCGCGCAATTCGTCAATGAGCTGTGGCTTGGCGGTGACGGTAATCTTGGCGGATGAACTGCCCACCTTTTCCAGTTTGAGGCTTGTGAATATCCACTGCACTTCGGGTCCACGATCAGCTTTCTTGAATGCAAGCTTAATACCGAGGGCCCGCCACATGAGGATAAGTGCAGACAAGTTGACGTCTCGTTGCGCGTTTGATCCACAAACGCCTATACAAGGGTCATCAACATATATCTGCAGCTTCAGCGCGCTCTCACCGAAAGCGCCTTGGGTGAGACGGGCCACCAAGGCCGCAACGCGCCCACACACAACGGGTGCATTGAGCGAGCCCTGCGCCTGCACGGTGTACACTGCGAACTTGCCCTTAGCCTTGTACGCGAAGGCAAAGTGACGCCTTTCCTTTGGGTGCAGCGGTATTTGGAAAAACCAATCTGAGTAGTCCAACACCAACCATTCCACACCAGAGTCGGTGCCCTCAGCTTGACGAAGTAGTCCCAATGTGTCGTCCAACACATCGGTGACCCGTGGTAGCAAAAGGCGGCCACCTTTCCACGCACGCTGATTGACATGCGACTGTTTGCAATCCAAGATGAGC